TCTGCAGACAAATTCTGCTTTCCGAAAAGTGGCAGACAAAAGACACGTTTCGTTATTGAAAGCATTGCGAGCAAAACTATAGTAGGAATTTACACCTGTTGGCAGTTTACACGACAAAGTGACGGCAAATAGCGAGCAGATCTGCTGAAAGACCACGAAGATCGCCCCGCAAGCGAAATGACAGCAGATCGTAGGCAGACTGGCAACAGGTTTCATCGAACCATCTCAGCAGATTGACACTGTCCGCACATCGACAAGTACAGTTCGCAAGTTCTCTCCGCTACGAGCGAAAGAGTCCCGTGTATTACCGTTGTTGGAGTCGCTGGCCTGTCTATCGGATCTCAAATTTGTGCTGAGCCTCCTCAGAGCCTCCTCTATGCTGGGAAGACGTCGGATGTTGGCCCTGGTTATACCAGACTCGATACGCACTATCCTGCCGCGGCTGTCGAGCCCGTAGGAGATGTGCGGCAGGCTGTCGTCCGACATCGTGTCTCGGCGAGGCGGGCCGCTCACAAGCTCATTACCACCTTGAAAACACAAGATAACGTTTGTACATCGCCGCCGCAAACGCGCCGCTCACCGAACGCGAGTGCCCTCGGAGCCGCAGCCGGGCCGCGGGCTCTCTTCGGGCGCAAGTTAAGGCCGTCACACATAAAATTCCGTAAGGACGTAAAACGTAAGCGTAAGAAAATCGACCTATCACAGCCGAGAACGTAAGGCAATAACTCGCAAGCAGTAGCGAGTCCAATCTGTTGAGTTTTCTTACGCTTACGTTTTACGTCCTCACGGAATTTTGTGCGAAGACCTTTAACCTCCCCGTCGGTTCGGATCTCCGTGCGCGGAAGGTTATGACCGCGGTTATGCATCAGCAGAAAGTCTCGCTGGGCGAGCCTACGCTTCCGCGTGGCGTTCCGTCGGTACGCGCATTACGTAAATATTATGCAGCTTTTTTTCCCCCCCTTTGCGTTACGCAATGGTAATTTCAAGGTACGCGCGAGCGCCTGGTCGGTGCCCGATTCGCGTATCCTTCGCCGCGTTCGTATCGCGTGCAA